CTTCACTTTTCCAGTTTTCATATATATCAAGTCCCACAGTGTAATGAGATAAATAATGCACACTATATTGTAGTACCTAATTTTAAGACCCTTTTTGTCAAATATTCAAAGAGCTTAAGATGCTGCATGAGTTCTATGTGTGTGTCCCTGTTTATCGCCTTTCTCTTTCCTTTTCATTCTTTCTCCCATAAAGAACTGATCTCTCCATTTTCTCTCTTCCTTACTGATTGATAATTATCTGTCAACTTCTATAGTATAAATATTCTCACTAGTTTATTTACAGAGACCAAACATCACCAACTTGCAAATTTTCTATAAATTTAATAATCTGCTCTAATTCTATCCAAAGTGATTTTATGCAACATATTTAAAACTTTTGACAAAAACTTTGGGAAGAAAATTCTATTTACTGGCCTACATTTACACAGGTGGAGACTGAGGCACAAAATGAGTTGTCCAAGATCAGTTACCAGTGCCAGGGTGAGGATTTGAATAAGGTGTGGGACTCTCCAGCCTCTGCTCTTTTCAGCTGCACTGTGGGGCCAGCTTCCCAGCCACTGGCTTGGCCTGTCCGCTCCACTCTCAGGGTGTCTAAGAAATTCAGTAATTTCTCCCAAATTTCCTTGCCTGGTTGTCCAGCCTCCCATCTTTCCACCCCATCTATTATAGTCAGGGGTCGCAAGAACAATTACATACAGGACACGTAATTTATAGTATTATTTATAATGGTGACCCAAGGAGTCAAATACAAAGAAAGTGAAGGAAATCTGCCCACAACGCTAAAGACCTAGAAAAATCAGCCAAGGGCCTGGATCCCGTGGCAATAACCTGCATGAGTTCAGCTGAACACCTACAGCCCACGATGATGACTCACGCAAGTATGTTTCACAGATCTGCGCTGGGAAGGCCCAGAGGTCAGCGGTAGAAGCTAGAAAGTCTATGTCAGTGGGTGAAGGATCTGTGCCAGTAGGTTGAGGGTTCTGTACTAGAGCCAAGAAACAATGCTCAAAATAAGGACCAGGGCTCCCCTGAAAAATGCCACAGGCATCCTCAGTGTTAGTGAAGTCCTGAGCTCCTCCAACAACAAGAACAGACAAGTTCAAGTCAGGAAGCCAGCATGACAAAGCTTCTTCTGGAGACTGAACAGCACACATGTTCCTCTCCAGAGCCAAGAAGTAAGGACCAGAGCTCCCCAAAGTGAACCACAGCTATTCTCAGCAACAGGGTCCTGAAATCCTCTGATAACAATGAAGTTCATATCAGGGAGGCCAGCATGACAAACTCCTCCAGGAGAACCAACAGCTCCACTTAAAACCCACAATACCACTGGTGCTCTGTAGGTCTCCTTTTTATGCTGGCAAAAGTCCTCAAGTGGGCCATCCACGCTCATCACCACGCTGATTCAGTTTAGCTGGCATTTAAATTGACCACCAGTTAGCAATCCACTACAGTACGTTATTGGCAAACCTCTCCTTCTAAAGTAAAGAACTGGTCATATCATTCTCCTGCTCCAGTATACCTTCTAACAGTGGACTGCTTCACACAGCATAAAGTGCATGCACCTCTTTCGGCTGCTCAAGTCCTCTATGCTCAGCTCTCAGTGCCTTTCTGCTTTTATAGTTGCCCTGAAAATCTTGTCTGTTTCAGTTATGCCAAATTAATTGTGCTTCCTCAAACAAGCATGTGCTCTGCTACTTCCTTTAGGTACTAATCTCTCCACCTGTCAAAGTCTTACCATCTTTCAAGGTTCTATACAAACGAGTCTTTGAAAGCAAGGGCTATGATACATTCCTCTATACAATCTCTTCCACAGAATCCAGGACAGTATTTTGCTGATTGACAGAATAAATTATAATAAATAAATAAATTGACAGAATAAATCTGTCAATTTTTATGTTAGATGATATCACTGAAAATCTGAGCTTGGGCTCTTCTGCCACTGCTCATGATGTGCTCTCATTTCTTGAAGACAACATCACCAACCACCTGGATCAACAGGGCATGCCATTGGTGGACATCAGTTGGGAAAGGTGACTCAGGAAGAACATAACAACTTGTACTGTGGCCTCAAGAGTACAGGTTTGAGGGCACTCAAGAGCTGACCCACAGAATCCCTTATTCGGTCCAGGTCAGGTTCTGTCCTCCACTGACCAGGGTGGGTGATGATGCCTTTCATTGCAATATTTTAGTTTCAGACACAGTAGGATTGCAACCCATCTTAGAAGGAAGGTAAGTTCTTTCTCCTCAGGGACCCAAAGCCCCATTTTCCCTCCTTTTTCATAAGTCCATTCCACTTACTTTGTCTCCTTTGTCTCATTTTAAACTCTTCAAATGGCAACCAAGACACATGTCTACCCTTGTAAGGTCTCTGCCTAATTACTTGAAAATTCAGCTCCTTTCCTTGGTGGCCAACTGAGCAGAGTTGAGGAAGTGCTTCAGAGGACTCTCAGACATGATCAAGGTAAGGTTCTAAGATAAAGCAGATAGAGCAGAAGAATGAAAGCAATAGCCCTCGCTTCGACCATGTACACACCGCTGCACACCCAGCAGGCACCTTCCTGAATTAATGTAGGGCAGGACATCTCAACAGCCGGGTGACTAGCAATTGGGGCAGGATGTCTTGTTGGCACAGGGGCAATGCTATACATGATAGGACACAGAGCAGCATTCTTTACCTATCCCCACTAGATGCCAATGTACCCCTTTCTTCTGTTCTGACAACAAAAATGTCTCCACCTGTTGCCAAATGTCCCTTGGATGACAAGGTCTCCCCAAGTGAAAATCTGAGTCTTCCAGGCACAAATTAACGCATAGGTGACCCTTGTAGAGCTGAGATTCCATGAGTCTGTTCTGGCCCTTCAATGAGCAACCTACCATTAGATGCTCATCATCTTTGGTTTGGCATGCTTAACTCAGCCCTGGCATCTGGAAGTTCCTAGACAGCTGCCTCCAGAGTGTCAAGAGACATTGAGTGTCAAGTGACTTGATGGGATGACACTCACTGAGGATTAAGAGAGGGTAAGAGGGGTCCTTCAGGTGAGTAACATTCCTGTGAAAAGGTCCTTACCTCTGAACCAGGAGACAGCAATGGGGAAAAATAGGAAATAAGATCAACTGCAAGGCTCTTTTTCTCATTGGCCCACATTTCTTTGTAAAAAACAAAAAAAAAAAAAAAAGGAAGGATTTCATCTTATATATCCATATCCTAAATTTGAGCAGCCACAGAAGCCAACCTCTTCAACTGCTTTGAGAAAACGCTTCAAAAGGCAAAAAAGGCATTTTGGGATTTGAATGATGTCTTAGTTACTTTTCTCATTGCTGAGACAAAATATCTGACACCCAAAATTAGGGGAGGAAAGGTTTATTTAGCTCACAGTTCTCAGAGGTTTCAATCCATAATTGGCTGGCTCTAAGACAGAGTGGTACATGGCAGAGTGGCCACAGTTCCAGGCAATGGAAGAGAGCAAAATTAATGCAGGCCATCAGCCTTTAGGTGGGTACGGCACTCACAGACTTGATCCCAGCACACTTGATTCCAGCGTTGCACTACAAATCAATCACACACTCTAGATTCACCTGCCTCTGAAAAGAACCTATGACGCATGAGGCTGTGAGGGGACATCTAGACAGAAACCATAATATAAAATCTTTCCATTGCCAAATTTGCATCCTCTTCAAATACACATGCATATATTTTATGCTCAAATTCTTCTTTTCCCTCTTGAAAGGCTTAATATATGTTTCTGAATGAAAATAAAATATCTCATTGGCAAATGTTAGAAAATACTGAGAACTGTTCGCAAACCTTCCAATAACTTGCTTTTCTGTAAAATGCAACAGTACAAGTTTATATTATATTGGTGTTCAGAATGTTTCTTTATGAAGCTTTTGCTTTGGTGTTAAATGGCCTAAAGTACCATATGTTTCTTAATAAAAAGCCATGATAAAACTACATTAATAAACTGAACTCAAAGAAAAGCTGCCCCAGGACAGCTCTAACTAAGCCCTTTTATGGGCTTGCCAACAATTTCAAGATTGTTTTAATAAAAAAAAATTTATGCTTCTATCTTCATGGACCACAGCACTCAAGTTCCCCTTACCCCATCATCCTCACACTCCCAGGCTCAGCTAATTCTCCAGCGCTCTACTGTAGGGGTCACTCATAGCTTGACGAGTAATTCACCAGAAGGACTGGGCTATCTGGAAGCTTTGCGTGTGCACATCCATACACAAGCACACACGTACACAGACACACACTCAAACAGCCACTTGCAAATCCTTGTCTGCATACATCTCCAGGGACCTCACTACCCTCAAGCCCACTCTGTCTTCTTTGGAGGCAATACCCTGCAGAGTGGAGGAGACCTCAAAGCCCAGTAAGTTCAGAAGGAAAAATTCTTTAGAGCCCAGGCTAAAGGAGCATGAGGCTCTTTCCAGATTTAAGGTGTCTCAGCCCATGGGAAGGAAAAAAGAAGAGTGTGACCTTCTAGTACAATATTTAACATTCTATATTATAAATATTTATTTACTTGCTGGTCACAGCTAATTCTTTAACAGTGCGATTGGATTTTGTTGATTTACTTAGCACAATGCCAGCTTTATCAAGAAGCCTTCAGTCTATGTGTGTTGTTTAATTTGACCACTTTCAAAACACAGCTTGGACACCCACTGGCTCTAAATGAGAAGTCAATGCTTGTGGATTAAGTGGATGAATGGGAAAGATAGTGGTTAGCTGCTACAGGTAACCACTGTGAGATGAAAGTTAATAAACGGTAGACACTGGCTTAGTCTGTTTGCACTGCTAGCACAAGATACCGCTGACTGTGTAATTTATGAACAGAAATTTGCTGCTCACACTTCTGTGGACGGGGAAGTTCGGCATCAAGGGACCACCCAGTGTAGTATCTATTGAAGGCTTGATTTCTGCTTCCAAAACGGCGTCTCCTCGTTAAGCACTGAGAAGGACATGAATTCTAGAAGGGACATAAACATTCAAACTATAACATTCAACTTTAGTTTTATTTTTAATATTTGTATAAGGTGTAATATGTTTAAAATTTTATTTTTTGTTTTGTTTTGTTTTTGTACAGGGGATCAAACTCATGATCTCATGGTTGCCTGACAGGCACTAATGCCACGGAGCTAAATCCCTAGCCCTTAAGGTTTTGAAATGTATTACAATAAAGGACACATCAACAGCAACATCAACAGCAAAATGTATTACAATAAAGAACACATCAAATCCCCTTCAAAATGCTCCGCTTCCCTTCAAACACGCTAATCTCATCATCCTTGACGCTTTCTGAAGCAGTTCCGCAAGTCCTCTTTCCTGGGTGCCCTGAGTTGCACCGTCCTGGCTGCCTCTGTGTCCTGAATTTTTCAAAAATTCTTTATTCCATGGTCATTGTGACTTGGAGGAAGAGTGAGATCTGCTGAATAAAGTGAATGAAATTATAATGTACTATTTTCATTTGACAGAAATAAAAAACAAGGTGAGAAAAACAAACTACAGTGAGTGTGGGTGCTCAATACAGGTTTTCCTTTCACAGCAAAAAGTAAAAACCACTTTTCTGTGTACCCCATATTGGAATTTAAGATCCTGCTTGTTCAGTCCCTGATGTGATACACCGTACTGGTTTGAGTGGAGCTGAGAATCGTTGCAGCTCTCTCTCCCATCCTGAGAGAGAGCACAGAGCAGGTGGCACTCTGACCTGGAGGAAACACCTGGAAACGTGGGCGGTGTCTCCTGATGGTGTGTTCACTGTCTTCCTTCCTTAGCTTTTTCTCCGGCTTCATTTCCCTTCTGACTCTTACCATACTCGCTATGGTTGGAGGTGATAGCTCTTCTCGCCTCAAATTATATTCCAGTGAGCTCTTGAGGTTACTTCACCTCTTCTATTTCTGGGACGACTTTGTAGTTTGGATTTTTAAAAACTCTTTCCCTATAATACAGAGAGGATAGATATACATGTAGAAATTCACACATGGGAAGATTTTTTTTAAACTATTTACAAGAACAGATTATATAATGCAAGATGTAATGAACAGATACTCTGACGAAGAAGAGACACTAAGAAACCCAATGCTAATTCTGTAGCATTATGATATAAAATATAGCAATACTATTATTCACTGATCAGAGTGATATTAGTCTAGTCTCTTAAGTTCAATTTCAGCAAATGTAAAGATAAGGACAGCTACTACAAAGAGAATGAGAGACACTATGGTAGTTATTATTGTCTTCCCCAATGTCAGATTTTGAAGACCTAAAAAGCCTTCATCATCCTGCAATGATCTGATTAGTTCTATAATATGCAGTATGTATTTAATGTGCATGAAAGTGGGGACAACTATTTGGTAAGAAACTAGAGACAATTAGATAAACAGTGCAGATCTCCAGTGGACTTGCTTTGAAATCTGTGTTTCTTTTTGTTGTTGTTTTTTATCAGTACCAGGGATCAAACTCACAACTGCCTACTTGCAAGGCAGGTGCTTATGCCGCTGAGCTAAATCTCCAGCCCAAAATCTGTATTTCTTTAAATTGTTTCTTTTTGAACTGTTTTGTTCTGTTTTGCTATGTTTAATCTTGCCCTCTTTAAGATAAAAAACAGTGTGTAGGACTGATAACCATATTACTAAGTTTTCATTAGATCATTGAGCAGAACTGTTGGCAGTGTCACTATTTGAATGTCACTTTACATACTTTAATTTTGTAACCTGAACAACTATTTCTAAGATGAAAATATGTAATTTATCAACTGGTGATTTCTTACCATTTATTTTTCTGTAATTCTGTATTATTTCTACCCTTTTTTTCTCCATGTATTTTTTGTTTCTTTCTCTTTAAATAGAAAAAAAAAACTCTTTCATTTCCTTTTAAAGCGTTTTCACTATTTTCACATAAAAAAAAAAAAACAGAGTAGCACCTTGAGACCACAATGTTAAGTGAAATAAATCAGATGCACAACTCTTGTGTGGGCACTGAGAGAGTCAAACAATGGATAGCACACAGAAAGATGAACTCAGGCCTAGAGAGAGAGAATGTTGCAGAAGTCAGAAGGCTGGACAAAAGAGAGAAGCTAGCTAAAAGGTGGACTTAGCACTCCCAGAAACATGCCAGCAGAGACTGAATAACCTGACCAGAGATGCCATACAAAGAAATTCCCACTTTGAACGGAGAATTGAACTAAATGACATGAGATAAAATTGAAAAATTTTGGGGACCTTTACTTACTATAAATTTCTTATTTCTGGCTAAATGGATCTACACCCCCCCCATGACGTTGAATGAGTCCAGTACTGTATCAAGTTGGTTCCTGTCTGTGAGGATAGAGCCTGGCTAGGATGGAAAATACCTTTCAATCAAGCCCTGTTCTCCAGCCCCCTTGTCTTGTCCAGCCGCATTTATTTATTTCTTCTCCTTTTATCATCAGACTAGTTTCTCCCTCTCTCTGGTTTTCATCTACATGAAAAGGTTCTGACCCTTGACTTCTCTTGACTCTTGGTTTCTGCACATGCTCTGATTTTTGTTGGTCTGCTGGGTGTCTGAATTTCTTCTTTGCCTTGATCTTAATTTATAGTTGCATCCAATTCCTGACTACCAGAAAATCTGCTAGAATTGTTAAATTATTGAGCTCAAAATCCTATTTTGTGTTCCCGGGCACATTTTGGACAAGTTACTCTATTCCTCTAAGCTTTGTTTTTCTCAACTATTGAATGAATAATTATAGTACCTCTGTGACGGAGAGTTGGCATATGGTTTGTGCCAAAAAATGTTAACTACAATTCTGATTTCATAAAAACCACAATTCAGCTGACACTCTCAGATCCCAGCTCCCTAATTCCTCTCTTTGCTCTGAGGTATGAACCACTATTCGAATACAAATGAAATCTTAATTCAGGCATCCCTTATTCAACCGAATGAATATATTCCAGTTAATTTGGTTATAAACATCTTTCCATAAACTGAGTCCTCATTGTCTATTAAATAGCTGTATAAAATCGAGAACACAGTTCTCTCAAAAACATTCAGGATTCTGAATGTAATGAAATTGAACATCCGAACTGAAAAAATTTTAAATCGAAAAATGATAACATCCCAGGAAGATAGCTTCTATATATAAAGCAGCTGCTTTTGTGCTGCTTCACTAAGGACAAAACGGCAAGCGTGAAGCCTGCAGACTCCATCCATCTGTGAGGTAGGATCACTTAGAATCTTAGAATGTGTGACTAAATTCATGAGTTTGTGAGTTTAGAAGTCTATCCAGCAAAGTGAGATCATTTGTCAGTGTTGCAAAATCCCCACTCACTACTATGTTTAGCATTATTATTCTGTCTCAGGACAGCCAACTTAAAGAGAACCAGATATCATATGAGTCCAGACCAGAGGGCCATGGAAATGTTTTTGATGAAAGAGGCCCAGTGCCTTCTTGTTAGCCATTGGCTGTTTCCTGAAGACGTCCATCAGTATAAAATTCACCAGACTCCTGGAAACAGAACTTGAACCAAACCTAACTCCAAATCAATAGTCAAATAGAACTAAACCCCAGTGTTAATGTTTCACTAAACCTTGAACTGAACCAACTTTCCCAGTGGCCAGGGGGAAAAAAAAAATACTAATCAAGCAGTTCTTTTTAAGGCCAAAACTGTATGTTTTATGAAACCATTGAATTGGAACAAAATCAGATTACAATGTTTCTTGAACTGAATTAAACTAAACTAAACAACTAAATTTTTGTTTCTTTTACATTGAAACCCTGGTTACGAATAAGGCTTGAGTGCATACGATATATATTTAATATACAAATACTTTATTTCAGATAAGCTTTTCTCAGTGCCAATTTTCTTCTTTGTACAAAAAGGAATAATGATTCTGATTCAGTATAATTACTTGGAGAATTAAATAAAATGAGCACTCACTTATTGTCATCATTTTTGTCTTCTGATCTACATTTTTGTCCAGCACACAACGGGTCAACTTTTATGGTTGAAGTCCTCCAATATGTTTAATGGCCACCAGAGGGCAGCAAAAAGGTAAAATCTTACTGGAGCTGATTATGGAGCTTGTCCTATTTATACAGACAAGCAGGAGGGCTGACTATGTGCCAAATAGGTTCTAACCATCTTACTGTGTTAATGCATTTAATCCTTAACAATGTAATTTGATAGGTTCTGTTATTATTTACATACAGCAGGTGAGGAAACTGAGTCAAACAAATGAGTTCAAAGTCACATAGCTAGCAGGTGGCAGAGTCAGGGTTTGAACCCAGATAGTCCAATCATGGAGTTCTGACTCTTTACCTACTGCTGTCTGCTGCCACCTGATACTCATTTTGGAGGCCGCTAACCTGGGAAAGGTTCACATCTTGGCCTCTTTCGTAGGCACGGGTAGAACTGCACCCTGGATGACCTCCGAGAGTCTGTCCACAGTTTAGGACCCAGAGTGAGGAGACTCCAAACTTGAGCCAAAGAAGTGAGATGTGGTCAACAGTAGTGCTGAGGATAATTCAAGGCACACGCATGGACCAAGTGAGTTAGGAGGTTCAGTGGAAGGGGAGGAGCTGGGTTTCCAGCATAAATGTAGAAAAATGATCAAGACAGTTGCCCTTGACAAGAAATAGTTATTGTCATGGTGACAGAGTCCAACTGGCCCAATGGTCTGAAGCTGCAGTGTGTCCTTGGGATTTAAAGAGCCAAAACTAGCAAGAAAACAGGGAGCTGACTCAGTTCCATTTTCACAGCAATTTCCATTTTTTTGTTGTTTGTTTTTAAAAATGAAAAATAAAACCCTGTCATCTTAGTCATCACAGCTAAGCCTTCAAAAATAACAGTCCTTGCTAATTTCCCAACATCTTCATTTCCCACGCCCTCTTTAACCCATCCAGTCTTCTGCACTCAGCCCCTGAAACCAGCCTCATCAAGGTCGCCAGGCCTCTGCCAGATGCCACACCCAGGAGTTACTTGTCAGTTTTTCAGGTGTGCCTGCACACAACTTTTAACACTATTGGTCACTCTTTCATGAAACCCCTTACCACCGCCATGGCCCAGAATTTCTTATGCAAACATTCTCCATCCTGGACCCCCCACAAGTAGTTTCTGATCTCTCTGAATTTTTAGTCTGCTTATTGACTCCTTTTCCCATCGTGTCTGGTCAAAAACAACACAAAGGTTTGGGCTTGCAACGCAGTGCAATGGTAGAGCACTTGCCTGGCATGCATAAGGCCATGGGTTCTGCTCATTGAAATCATTCAATTAATAAAGCAAAGGCTTCTAACTGATCTCCTAGTCTGGATTCTCCAATCTACCCTCAACATTGCTGCCAAGAGAGCATCTTAAAATACTAATCCAGGGGCTGGGGGTTTAACTCAGCTGCACAAGCGCCTGCCTGGCAAGCGTGAGGTTGTGAGTTTACCATAAAAAAAATTAATCTTATCGTGTCTCCCCCTTGCTTCCAATCATCATTCATTTAGTGGTTTCCCTTCCCACATCATGAAAATTATTTAGCACAACATTCAAGATTCCTCTTAGCTTCCAGTCTGTTTTTCCATGCGGTTCTAGCCGTGCCTCCACACAGGCCCTTAGTTTATACACAACTCAAGTCATCCAAATCCTCAAAGCCTGTTTTCCCTTGAACCCTTCAAAATTCAGCCCAGGCATCTGCTTCTGAAATCCTTTCCCCTGGACAGAGGTGCTGGTTTCCACCAAGCGCTCCAACAATACACCTGCAGCCATCAGAGGACTGCAGGTCATTCACAGCGGGGGTCTCCTGTGCAGACTCTGACTTCACTGGGTGAAGGAACACGCGGAATTTAGCTACCCCAGCATCTAACACAGATGCTTTCTATATGTTAGGGGAGGAAACGGAATTTTTAGCAGAATGATGGGACTGAGATACTATGCTTGTACATTAGCACTTCAAATTGCGATCCTGACTTTGGGATCT